ACACATAGGTAACAGATACATCAACCTTATATACACATCACACAGTGAAAATAAGAATAGACCACTCCCATACGGAATTAGTTAGCAATATCTACATAGTTATTTCTTTATTTAATGTCTTTTTTTTAAATATTATATGCAGTTAAACAGCAGTTTTGTGCACTGCCCCCATGCGGTGCTGCAGTACTAACCTGCTGTGTCGTCTTCTCCGTCTGCTTCAGCCACTCCGTGTCACAGCCTAGTCATCTGCTCCATTCTGACCTCTTCTCCCGCTGATTGGCCGATTGGATGACTCCTGACTGGTGAGGAAGCCTGTCAATCATCCAATCGGCCAATCAGTGGGAGAAGAGGTCAGAATGGAGCAGATGACTGAGGACTTGGAGGAGGAGTTTGCGGCCATCTTGTTTCATTGAAGACGCTATGGAGGTCCTGTGTGCGGCGGTTTTGGGTCCTTGAAGATGGCGGACGCGGCACAGGTACTCGTTTTTTGTATCTGAGTATTTGCACGAGTACGATTACTCATGCAAATGCTCTGTATCGCCGCTGATACCGATGCTTGTATCGGTATCGGAGCATTCCCTAATTTTGATGCGCAGAGGTGTCCTTATTCCCTTGAATACTCTGTTTCAATGTGTCAAACAAATACCGGATCCAGATGGTTGACACCGTCTCCTACAGGGTAAGCTCCATGATGCTGATCTCACTATTCTCACGTGCTATGCCCCTAAATCTAGGCAACTACCCTTCTGTGGGGATTCTAATAGTGTTATTAACTCTAGTTTAGACAAATCATCTGCGGCTATATCTTCTCTCATAGTGAACCGACGACTTTTAAATCACTCCTGAATCAATACAATCTTGTCGACATCTGAAGGGATTTTAATCTGCTTGCTAAAGACTACACTTTTTAAGGGATAATATTAGTAGACATGTCTGGGAAAGAAACAGCAACACCACACACGGCAAGAGAACTTCACTACCTCTAAGTCTAGTATGCCGGCTGCCAATGTAGCAATCCAGGACATTATTAATCTAAATTGCCCCACTCAATATGGCCGTCACTTGCGCCCATATTGAGTGGGGCACTCAGATTAATAACGTGCTGGATTAGTCGGACCCTAGTTCATTTTAATACTTTATTGCTTTGTAGTATGTGTGTAGGGAAATGCCGCGGGTGGCCCACGTGCAGTAGAGCCTTCTCGGCCGAACCTCTTACTTCTAAGTAAGTCAGGTCGTTGGAGATCTTGAGGAGTTGGAGTTTGACAGAACACCGGCTGCCTTTCTGATAGTCTGCTAAATAGTCGGGCTCCTCGGTGGACATCTGCAACTTCCTCCGCCCACTTCAGCTGCCATAAGCTAGGAATAATACTGCATCATGCTGGACTGGAAGCTTCACCTGAGACTAGAATCCCTCCCCCACCGCTGGCCTCTGCACTGTAAGTCACTCCTCTGCACTCTGCATCACACCCTGACCACTGCACTGTAGATCACACTGCTGACCTCTGCATTGTAGATCACACCACTGACCTCTGCACTGTAGATCACTCCGTAGACCTCTGCACTGTAGGTCACACCGCTGACCTTTGCACTCTGCATCACATTGCTGATCTCTGCATCACACCATTGACCTCTTCACTGTAAGTCACACCTGGTCACGGTCTAAGTCACACCTCTGACCTCTTCACTGTAAGTCACACTGCTGACCTCTGCACTGTAAGTCACACCACTGACTTCTGCACTCTGCATCACACTGCTGACCTCTGCGTCAAACCGGTGACGTCTGCACTCTGCAGCACACTGCTGACCTCTGCGTCACACCGCTGACCTCAGCACTGTGCATCACAACGCTGCACTCTGCGGCACACCACTGACCTCTGCCCTCTGCGTCACACTGCTGTCCTCTGCTGTGCATTACACCGCTGATCTCTGTGTTGCACCTCTGACTTCTGTACTCTGCATTACACCACTGACTTCTGCGTTAATTCGGCTGTGTTAGGTCCCGCGCAGCAGCCTTCTGGGGAACCCCGTGGTGCCTTCTTACAGGGCTTCCACCGGCTGCCTATCTTTCCCTCCTGAGACCCTTTGTCCGAGACTTCAGGTTGATACCCTGGAGCAGAGCGACAGCACAGAGTATGTACCAAATTCATATACTATTATTCTGCATTGCTGTATAATGTTTTGCAGGAATTTTTAGTCCTCTATAGCTGATGGTATTATTCTGCATCTGTACAGAGACTGATGTGACTTCTCTGTACAGCACTGCGGTATATGTCAGAGCTTTATAAATGTATAATAATAGTGTGTGACTGTGCGGGGGGTAGGGGGGCCAGTGAGATCCGATTCTCTATAGCAATATGTCTGGGAAGGTTCTCATTCATCCAGGTCACATGGTATAGCTGTAAAAAATAAGTCAAGGCAACTGGACTTTCTGTATTTTTCTTGAAGACGTTTCACTGGCCATCCAACCAGCTTTCTCAATTCAGAAATTTCTGAATTGAGAAAGCTGGTTGGATGACTAGTGAAACGTCTTCAAGTAAAATACAGCGAGTCCAGTTGCCTTGACTTATTTTTTACAGATATTCTCTATAGCAAGCTTCCTACATTGTTGCAAGGTTTGTGTATTGGTTGTAGCAAGG